AAAAAAAAGAAATAAAATCTTAAAAAATAAAAATAAAAAAATTTAAAAAGTAGCTAGATCAGCTCCTCACTTGAACAATCACATCAATGCTTTCCCTAGAATCAGCCAACGTGTTTTGACTTAAGTCTTTAATGGTACTTGAAGAACTTAAAGAACTATAGGCAGTACAGGAAGGGGGAAATTTAAGTCTTATGGCTCAGCTTGATTAGAGATGTGATTTGCTTTATGAAGTAGCTGTGTTTTTGACGAGTTACGTGTTAATTACTTTTTACAACCCACTTCATATATTCAACACAGTAGTTGTCCTAGGGTCAGAATACAACGTTTGGAATTTTTTATAAAACAAAATAGTCTCTTAATTTCATCCGTTTTAAAAACATACTTTCATATTTATATTTCTGTGAACTTGGGGGTATGGAAGAAATTTGAATTGAATTAAAATAGATAATTTCTTCTTTTGTCAAATACTAGGAGCCATTTCCCCCCCAGGATGCTGAAAAGGAGGCATGCTGAGATTTCAACTGTGAATAGAAACTTTTCCTGGTCTCATAGATCTCCATATCCTAACCTGGGGCTGCCTGTCCCCAGCGTATTGTGAGGGATTTTCAGAACCTGGGGGGACAGGATACTTATTGCAGGAACCTATGATTTTACCTGTTCTTATGGCTTTTCATCTCTTTGAAACAAATGTCAAGATTATTTTAAAATATACCTGTCTGGGTGCCCGGGTGGTTCAGTCATTAAGCGTCTGCCTTTGGCTCGGGTCGTGATCCCGGGGTTCTGGGATCGAGCCCCGCATCGGGCTCCCTGCTCAGCGGGAAGCCTGCTTCTCCCTCTCCCACTCCCCCTGTTTGTGTTCCCTCTCTTGCCTTGTCTCTCTCTGTCAAGTAAATAAATAAAATCTTTAAAAATATATATAGCTGTCTGTACCTTGGGGATACATTGTCAGTTAGTTAGAAGATGAGTTTCTGGATAAACAGTTTTATTCATTGTATTTATGGCCGTAAAGTTAGGAAACTCAAGGATGTTTCCCCAAGTCTTTGAAACTCTTTAGATAGAAGGAGTTGATGTTTGTGAGGGGCAGTGCCCAAGTAATTGTACCTCTGGCCCAGGACCTAAGAAGAAAGATAAATGAATAGAA